TGCCATCCGTGTTCCCCATTCACTGGGTCACGATCACACACCCTGCTTCTGACCACTAAACATATGGCGGCCGCTCCAAATCGGACAACATCACGGTGGCCTTCCGCTTTCAACTCCTGTTTTCTGCCTTTACACACTTATCTCTGCTCGCGCATCTTATACATGCGTTGAGCAGAGCCAGCTGGGAGTTTAAAGCTGCTGCGTCCAGTCAACGGTTGGTCCGTCTATACACTCAGGCCTCCATTGCCAACCGAGCCGGTTTCCGAGCAAGGTTTGGCTCACCGAGCAGTCATGGTTTCCACGCAATGACTTCAGAGTATTACGTGTGGCCTCAATATCAGTTTTCGCAACCAACCATTTTTTGCTCCACCGACCGCATCGGAAAATTCGAAACGGAGTAAACACAGAGGTGTTTGCGTTGAGTTTCCACTGGCCCGCCCAGGAGTTATTTCTCTTTTGGATCGTTGAAGGTCTGGAAATAAAATACACCGTCAAGGGCCGCCCTGGACGGAGGCAAGAAGAAGAGACCGGCTGCAGAGTAAAGAAGAAAAATCCCACCTGTGAATGTGGGTGTTTGTTTGTATGTTTTTTTTTTTTTTTTGGTGTAAAATTGTGATCGGGGTTGATCCCTGAGATGAATAAAATATGGTTTGGTGTGCAAAGCTATATGGTATGAAAGGAATTTGAAAAAAGATTAAAAATAATGTGAAAGAAAAAAAAAGAAAAGAAAGAAATAATAAGAATATAATTGAAAGCCGCAACGGTGTGCGGTATATAAAAATAGAAATATATATATATATATAATTTTTTTTTTTATAATAATAATAATAATAATATATTAAGGAGGAAAGCATGTGCGCGGGTGAGAGTTGTAGAGAAAAGAGATAAAGATAGGTGAATAGTGGTGGTACATATTAAAATATAGATAGAATATATGATGATGAGATTTTGGGTAGAAAAAATGATAAATTATTTTAAGAGATAGTGGGTGATAAGAAAAAGATGGAATGAATAAGATAAAAAGTGGGGCGGTGGAAGACAAAGAAAAAATGGATTAAAAATAAATAAAAAAGTGGGAATGAGTTCAAAAAGGGGGCACAGTTAGTGGGAAATAGGAGTGGAGTGATTATTGGATATAATAAGAATAATAATAATAAAAAAAAAAGAAAAAGTTAGACCACTTGTTAGGAACCTTGCAGCATGCGAGACAATGGGTTCTGCCACCTGTATTTGTACGGATAAGACATGAGTTCACTGATTGGTCTTCCAGTGAGGCATTGGAGCTTTTGAATTGCTTTGCCAGTTGCAGATAGCAAAACTTCATCACCTCCGGGATAAGCATCCATGAATGGAGGGACAGCATACACCTTGCCAGCTATAAGGAGCCAGCAATCTTTGGTTTGGTTGTGCTTAGCGACCGCGTCAAACAGGTGAACTTGCGGATCTGAAAGTCGGGCGGCGGTCGGCTTGGAGAATAACGAAGTCGATGCCGAAGAAGCCGAGGAGGTAGATGACGATGTGAGTGTTCTTCTTGCGGAGGGCACGGAGGCTTTGCTTTGGCGAGGTATGTGTAAAAAAAAATCTTAGCGGACGAGGTTGAGGTCCGGCGGACGGCTAAGGTGAGGTTGCCGCCCGCCGGTGAAGCGAAAAATACTAGGTGCTAAACCAGCTCTGATACCATGTTAAAATTGAAGTATTATTGATTGATGTATGTTGATTCATATTCTGTCTATTACAAATGGTTCCTTATATAGATGTAGGTGTAGTGGATGGTGTGTAGTGGATGGTGATAGTGGTGTAGTGGGTTAGGTTTAGTGGAGTAGGTGAGGTGGTAGTGGTGGTAGGTGATGGTAAATTCTAACAGCCCCCCGCAAACTCAAGGAGGATAGAAACTAACCAACTTGAGTTTGAAGAGAGGAACAAAACAAGAAAATACATAAAAAAAAAAGCACATAAGGCTGTCTTTCAAATTTGATACATGCTAGGTTGTATGATAAATTGAATATCTGTTTTTCTTTGCAATTCGTGGAACTTAATGCAAGTTTTCTTTGTAATTCCTCTTTTGTATGTTTGAAACAGTTCTCCTTTTCTTGTCATCGTGGAATTTATTAGCCATGAGTTGCTGATAAAAGATAAAAAATTTAAATAATAGCTATGACTGTGAGTTGGTGCGTAGTTAAAAAAGAAAAACCTTCGTAGTTGACCAATCAAATCATCTTAGTTGTGTTGATATCATCGTAAGTGGATGGTCTGAAGAACTAGATCTCTATTATCAATCAAATTTTGAATAAGATTGCAGACACTCCATTTTCTACCATTTACTCACAATGGGAGTGGGGCTCACATCTTCAATTGGTGTGGGCCCCAATCCACCCATTCTATCATTTATGTTTATAAGGTGTTGTTGATTGGCATGATGATTTGTAAATTTAAAGCATTAATATAGAGCATGATGAGACAGCTTCTTTATTATTGCAATTGTAGCAGCTTCAAGCACATTTAGTTGACCACCACTTAATACAGGAGAATCTCATAACTGGAACATTTTCTATATAGGACAGGATATTAACTTGGAGAAACGGGAACCATATTTGGATTGGTTGCTAATTTACATCTCTGGTTCATTTTTTATGATGGTTTCTCGATATGTTTTATGAGTCTTTCATATGTTCTCTGCACAAACACTAATAACTAATAAGAGTGCAAATTCATTGAAATTGTGTAACTGCTTGTTTATGCTATCTGAGAAGAAACTTTTGGTCCATTACCCTTTTTGTGTGATGATGAATAGTTTTCAAATGATAGAGGCATGTCCACATGTTCAATTTGCGATATGGTACGAGATTAGATTTTATCATAGTTGTGCTTTGGTGATGCCTGCCTAGTAATTTATGTTTAGCCCCTACAAGTAAATTACTCTTAACAGTTTTCTTTTTCTCTATAGGAAGCTTCTGAGGCTGTCACAACTAATAAAACACATGAACAAAGGCTTGTTGATTACATCTCTTTCAGAATACCTGAGGATTCATTCTCAACTATCAGAAATTGCATAGGCATCGCTAGGGGTTTTATGCATGATTTGAGCAGTGTAAAGAAGGGAAATGCCTCACTGGAAGCTGTCTTGTTATCGGTTCCTGATGGCTACCACTGCGTGGATCTCTGTCTATATAAAGTAATGATCTTAAAGAGTTTCCATGTTTATGCCGTTAATTTTCATAATTGGTTGTCTATATGACCTTTTGTTGTCGAAAACAGGAAAGTCAAATCGTACTATTATTAAACGAATCAACTACCAGTTCTGAAAGCTCCAGTAATGGTTGTATGATGATTGTACAAGCGAGTGACCTTCCCTTTGTATCAATTTCAAGATCCACTGGTCTAAACTGTTGGAATCTGCATGAATTGAAGGTATATTCTTGTTGAGTTTGATAGAGCGACCTGATATACATGAGTTTATTGTGCTTGCAAAATCTGTCAGTTTTGTTGTGTTGGCATGTCTCTGAAAGTCTTCTTTCTGTTCTGTGAGATTGAACTTCTGCTTCTCCTCACATGCAATTTTGTTTGTGTTGTATCTTTAAAACACATCTGATGAATTTATACAGCATAAAAAGTTGTATACAACTGCTCACTTTACTGTATCTCTTTCATTGTTTTAGTTGCTTGTCCAATTTGCCTTCAAGATAAACTTTTAGCTCACAAATATGTTATTTCTAGGACTCTGTCATGTACCTGCAGATGGAGAATGAAAAGGTTCGGAATATTCCTCACTCTGTGGTTGCTCCCTTGGCAGTCAGTGGTAAGTGCTTCTCACTACATCTCAGACCTCTATTTTCTTAAAGTTTTACAAAGAACAACCACCTTTATGCGGCCATATTAAATTGAACTTCTTTTGTATGGAGTCTTAGTTACTCTCTAGATGCCATGGTATGTGGGATATGTGTCTGACATGCATCCAAATCGGTTAAAAAACATAAATAATTTTAAAATTTTAGAAGTTTAAGATTTGATTTCAAATAAAGAGGCTTCTTGCTCCCTACATTGAGTAACAGAAATCCACTTGTCTCAACCTTCCATTTAGATTGAAATCTAGGTACATCCTTCCATTTTGTTGGTTGTGGAACCGAAGGAACCGAAACTGAACACATGCTACATTTTGATTTTGTTGATTTTTCAGTTTGGTGTAAATAAGAGATACATATGAAGTTTTAAGAGTTATACAGAGACTTGTCTAGAATCCCACCTCAGGAATAAGTAAAAAGAGAGGGTGGAAGGTGCTCTATAAATGCCTCCCCTTCTACCCTTTATTACAAAACGTATAGCATTGTTCACTTATCTTCTAATGTTCAAAGAATCTGAATACAAAAAAATAATTTAAATATAATATTTCAGTCCACATCAGTACAAAAAATTTTAGAAATGAAACATACCATACCTTATGAAAAGCTGACCAAAAACCAAAATTTTAGTCAATCTCGAGCTGTCAGTTGGGTTCCAACAATTTGTCTTACAGCCCTAGCTACAATCTACAATCCTTTATGAACAATAATTTTGTGACTTGAGGTGTACCATAAGAGAAAATCTTGAAGTTAAAAGCAATACAAAAAGTCAACCGATTCTCTATTTTTTTACATATTTTTGTAAAAAGTCAAAAAAATCACTGAAAAAACCAATTCCCAAATGAATCCTCAGAATTGTTTAAAATCTGCTTTCAGCATCCAGGGGTGTGGCTTGTGTTTTTGCTGCCAGAAGGCGTGCGTTGGTCTATATTCTGGAAGAAGATGAAGATGAAGTATCCGATGCAGAGTGATTGAATTATTATTGTATTATTTCTCATTTTATTATTATTATTATTATTTTTTTGGGTTTTTTTTTTGTTATAATCAACTTGTGTTTTTCTCACTCTTTGTGGGTTTGTATTTTTACTTTTTTTTGTATGTATGGTAACTGTTGGTACAATTTTCAAGAAATATGTTAAACAATTTTAAAATAGGAACAAAAAATGAAAGAGTATAATCATTTTACATTCTAGCAGGGAGTTGTTCTCATTTGATCTCATTCCACAGTGATGGTTAGCTCTGGTATCAAATGTCACTTGGATTTTGCGAGGGGGAAAGTTTTGTTAATCGATGTGGGATTGTAGATTCGTAATTACTTCAACAAAATATACATATATATGCAAAAAACAAAAAAAAAAACAACCGAGATTCCAATTCCACCTTCCAAATGCAATTTTTGCTTTACTTGGGATACCTCACAAATAAATGGTAGGCTTCAGCTTAAAAAGACACAATACTGAATCCATGAATTAAGGCCTCGTTTGGGAACAGGCTAATTTAGTAACTTTTTGGCTATTTGGCTAAAAAGGTAGGTAAAAAAAACTTGTATGTTTGGGATGACTTTTTGGCTAATTACGAAAAGATGTGCAAAAAGTAGAGAGAAAAGAGAATCTTTGACTTTTTAGTATGGGCTATTGGCTTTTTGGCTAATTTAGTAACTTTTTAGCTAATTGGCTAAAATAGCCTCTTGCCAAACGAGGCCTAATTCTCATTTATGCTTCATTTGTTTTGGTAAAAAATATTTTTTAATGAAAAACATTTTCTTATATGTTGTTGCATTTTTGAAAAAATATACTAATAATTGTGTTAATGATAGTGGCAGTAATAGTGATGTAGTGGCGGCAATGGCAGAGGTAGTGGTGTGGTGATGGTAGTGAAGGGGTGGAAGCGGCATGCTGGAAGCAGTGCTGGTGGAGATGGTGTGGAGATAGTAGTAATGTAGTGACATTGATAAAACATTTGTTTGAAAAATATTTTTCGCCTTTTAAAAGTGAAATATTTTTCACTCAAATAAGCTTATTTTCCGTTAATCAAAAAAAAAAAATCTGTAGTATAAATACATTTTCTTTTCCTCCCAAACAAATAAGAGCATTAAAACTAGATCTTTTAGTTTTTTTGGCTGCTATAAGATCTAAAGGAAGAAAATCAAGATTGATTTTTTTGGCTATTTTCTGTGAAAAATGATAATGTGCCAAGTAAAGATCCGAAA